AATGCCTGCCAGCGCATCCGCCCAGACAGTTCATTAAGCACACCCAAGTTTGAGTGATCTACAAGTTATAAGCGTTTTCAGCATTCAACAGGTCATTACCATGTACGGTGTAATATAACAAGTTATACACTGAACTATGATAATCTGTACTAGTATCTATAATAATAGAAAATAATTTGCAATGTTTTTACACTTTTGCAATTAACTACGGTCATTATTACACAGTCATGACTTGTGCCACTCTGCCATAGTACGGTTGTTGCTCCCACAGTAATTTTGTATACAACTCTGAATGAACAAAATGCATGCTCCTTCTCATTATCAACCCTGATCAGATTTTACCCCCGAGGAGTACTCAAAAAGGTTTACTACTGTGTATACTGTGATTTCAACTGCTCCTGTAACACTACCTTATACCTATAAGTTGGCCTTGCTATCATCCTCACATATGTTCATCAGAGTATACCAGAGGTGGGCACTCACACTATCACACACATGCGCTTGNCACTTCCTAGGACATCGCCATGTTAAATTCGCCAGTTGCTTGCATGCAAAAGAGATTTATCGCGAACCAGTACTGGGTCTAAATGTACTAGAAGCGCCCCAGTTCAGAACTAGAGATTTTCCCCACAGGGTTTGCTCAACAGCCAGTGCTCGGACTTCAACACATTTGTGGAATAGGTAACACCTTTTTTTGCTAAATTACCCCTGCAAAAAACGGGACTAATCCGGGATGACTCCGGGAGCAATCGCAAAGGAGCATGCGACTAATACCACTTTTGATCTCTTTATATGGAATGAACTGATCGCTTTTGTTCGAACATGTCCTATGAAGAGACTAATTGTTCACCTTTATACCCGAACGGGTATAAAAAGCGACTAGTCACTTTTAAAAAATAAAAACAAAAATTTGCGCCAGCTGAGATTCGAACCGGGGTTCTCAGTTTTGGTAGGCGAATACTCTCCCTGTGTGCCAACGCCGCACATGAAATTTTATTGACTAAGTGCGTACATATCATTAAATCGTTAATAGTACCCGTTAGAGATGAGTTGGGGACTAATTGATCTCCAATTATACCCATAAGGGATGAGTCGAGACTAATTGACCTCCATTAGAACCCGTATGAGACTAGTTGGGAGTAATTAATGCCCAATTGTACCCGATTGAGAGTAATCTCGGAATACCCTCTTTAGAGATTAGTCGCACAATTTTTTGCAGGGACATTTCTACTACTTCTAACACCGTAAGCTAAAAAACTTTCAGATCTTGAAACTTCTTTTTTTTTTTAATTTGTTCATTTGCGCATTAATGAATGGGCATTTCCTACAACAAAAAACAACATTGCTTGCTGCGACATCGACACATGTATGATATGATCGTCTTCGTGCGTCTTACGATAATTGACGATTGACTGATGCTTTGCTAGCACTTCGGCAAAACAAATCAAATCAGTTGCTGCTGAGACTTCACCACAGTATACCAGTAGAAAAGGTTTTTGTTGTTGTGGCTGTTAATTTGGTCCCCATAAAGGACTTGAGGGTTGCGAGCAACTGTTTTACCGCATTCAGGGTGCTGTGCAGCAAAATAATGTGGTGAACAATTTTAACATCGGATAAATGGCGAGAGAAATATTGTTATGCGCTTTATAAGTAAACATGAACGTAATAAAATGTTTTATACTTCAATACAACTAGTTAGCGCTATTTTTGCAATTCGAAATGATCTTAAAAATATTTGTAGTGAAATATGTACTTTATGAGTTAAATGGAAACTATCTTATATGTAAATATATATTCCGATTTACTTCAAATAAATGATGTAAAATGTTTTATATAATAATTTGATTTTAATAATAATATTTATTACTTTCATCTACATTGCTTTTATTGTAAGTTTTCACGAGTAGTTGCTGTTTTCTGCAATTGTCTCTGGCCGACTATACATGCTAAAGCTAAATAATTTCACAATTTCTACCCTATTAAACGTTTATATTTTAATAAAATGTGATCAATTACTTAAGAATATATAATTTCCGATCAAACTATAGAACTGAATGTTTGAGAAACAATTATTTAAATCAAATGATCAATAGTAAACGCACTCGGAGCGAATTTTGGAACACGGAGCGAATTATGCATATCAACACTAAATAATTTCTAACTTTCTACCATATTATACGTTTATATTTCAATTTAATATGATTAATTACTGAATAATATATAAACTCCGATCAAACTTCACTACTGAATGCTTGACAAACCATATTTGAATCGAAATCATTTGATTTAAATCAAATGATCAACCTGCTTGAATTTGACCATGCTCTCAGAAGAACCATCCTATAAAGTCAAATTGAAAAAAATTTGTATGAATTTTGAATTGTTTGTTTATATTTTTCTACATTATAGTATCTTAAAAGAGAGCCGGATTGAGTTGTCAATAACACATTGGGCCGTATGCATAAAAACTAAGTAATTACTTTTTCTCAGATTTTCATACATTTCACTTAAATTTATTTGAAAAAATTGAGTGAAAGGTCTGAAATTTTAAGAAAAAGCATTTGCTTAGGTCTTATGCATACGTCCCCTTGTTTAATACACCCATGATACAAATATTTAAAGGTAAAACCGCTTGTTCAATTCGTCGGCCATCATTTATTTTTTGAAGTTTGTCTATTTTATAAAATTGAAACTTTTAGAGCAACTCAAATGCCAAAAAAAAGTATAACGAACAAGTAAGAAAGTCTAAGTNCTTAAATTTCGAAATATTGAAATTTCAAGCATTTCTGAAATTTACCGTTATATGAAAAGCGGCCGTAATTTTAGTCCGATTTCAACAACGGTGTGCTTTTATGTGGCAAGCACAACAACCGTACCGAGTTTGGTACAAATTCGTAGAACGGTTACCGAGATACATATATGTGATCATAAGTGGGCGGTGCCATTTTCCAAAATTTTTATCACAGCATATTTCTTTGTTGTTGCAATCATCAATTTTGAAAAAATTAGCTTTAATATTTACTGATTTATCGAGGACTTCGTATTTTTCTAAATTACCGTTATGTAAGATGTGGGCCTGGTTATTGTCCGATTTTGGCCATTTGGTATGCTGTACCAGCACCAACAACTGTGCCAAGTTTGGAAGAAATTGGTGTAGCGGTTACCAAGATATACACATGTAACCATAAGTGGGCGTGGCTACCAAAATGTTTTAATATTCTTATTTTTCGTCTAAAAGTCATTGTCAATATCAATTTTGAGTACACAGGTTTACAAAAAAAAAAAAAACTTATGCATATTAAACCGAACCTATAGGTCAAATAGGACATAAAATTTATTCAATAAAAATTTAAAAAAAAAATTGTTTTTGTTCTCACTGAAACCGAGTATGGAGGTCCCTTGATTCCTCAAGGTCATCTGGAGGTCATGCCAAGGTCAAATTCCGATGAATTTTATTGAATTTTCAGGTTTGTTCAATGAATTTTTCCCTACTTGACCTTCAAATGACCACGAACCTGACGTAATGGAGGCTAACGGACTTCGGATTCGCATTCAGCATGTCGAATAACATAGGGATATATAGGTTTGGTTTAATATGCATACACTTTTTTTTTGTAAACCTGTGTTATCTATAGTAGTTACTAAAATATCGCACTTTTCGTATTTCTGAAAATTACCGTTATATGGGAGGTAGGCGTGGTTATTGTCCGATTTCGCCCATTTTCAATACCATCCGTCCTACGCCCAATTTTTACTCGAGTTATCGTGTGCACAGACGGACGGACGGACGGACAGACAGTCACCGCTTAATCGATTCCTCTTTTCATTCTGATCATTTATGTATACATTTTATATCTATCTCGATTCGTTTTGCCTGTTACAAACAACCGTTATGGGAACAAAGTTATAATACCTTGTGCACAAGTGCGCTCGGGTACAAAAACAAATAGATGAAAATATTGAAATTTTCATTTATTTGAGACTGAAAATGAGGATGTATTTGTGAGATTGGAAATTTGAACAAATTTTTGTAAAGTTAGCAAACTTTAAAAATGTTCAGGCTGCCTCTCAGCGGTTTTACCTTCAGATTTTTGTATCATGGATACACCTTGGTCGAGATATCACGAACAAGTTTTCCTTTATTTATTTTTACTTAAAATCTTTAAATATGTATGATTTTTTTCTGTAGAATACGTATTAATTTTTTAGCGATTTAAAAAAAAAGGGAGGCCAGTCGGATCTACGTAACCAGAACGACCTGAATGCGCATTGAAGTCGGTTGTATTTTTTGTTTAAATTAATTTTCATTATTGAGATACACTTTCGCTACTATTTATCCTCCTCCTTCTCGACATACTCTTTCATATTACTGTTATTTATTATTTTTCTTATTAGTCATTTATATGCTTAGGACTTACTGTAGGTGCTTTAAGATTCATTTTGTAAATATGTATGTACATATAAAAAAAAGCGATATTTTATATTAAATTATGAATTTTATTCGTGCAATTTTTTATGTTTAATAGTTTTGAGAACATTTTTTGGTTCTGTTGTATTCTTTTATTGCATGCCTTAAACTTTTTTACTTTAAGTTATAATTTTGAAGATATGCCTTCTGCCTTTGTCAAGCACTTTAGCTAGGTGCGACAAATTTAGCATATGCGCGTAAGAGCATAGAGTAGGTATACGGCTGTGCTGCCGCGATTCTCCAACATCTTGTCAAATGAGAAAACATATTGATGGCGGAATCCATCGTAGTCCGATTTTTCTTAAAATCTACGAAAAAGCGATCACTGAATCTGAACTGCTATAAACGTGTATATTCAAATCAAGCGCTGCGTTCGTAGCTACTCGAACTTAATAGCATTTTCGTAGATTTCACGAAAAATCGGACTACGATGGATTCTATGCGATTATGACTTATGGATCGATTATGGATGGGAACGGAACCTCAGTTGGGTTGCCGATGGACAGCGCCACTGAAATGAAAATAGCAATATATAGCAATAGCAATAATTAAGTTTCATAAAGTTCAAGGTGGTACAATTTAAAAACAAAAGTTAAAAAAAGAAATAAAGTATCTCAATAAAAATTTTCCGGCAGCCACAAAAATGCAGTTGCCAATATAGAAACTTAGTTGCCAGCTTTCAGTTGCTAGTTGCCATCGGTAATACCATTTCAGCCACTGGCCAACCAACTGAAGTTCGGTTGTCCTCCGTAATAGACACATAAAATCGGAATCGAATATGTATGCACGTTCTGCAAACTATAAATATTTTGTAAATGTGTGCTCTGTCCGCTAACGAATTCCTGCCATGTGTGAAATATCGTATGTGAAGCCTCTGTCTGACTTAACGATTGTCAAAGGCATGCCAGAAGATGTTTCATCATATGTTTTCGGCCATCGTCTTCTTGGAGTAAGTTCATCGATACCGAAAACTTTACAACCTTTATGTGCCAGCAGCCCTTAGTGTTTTTGCCAATGACATGGTACTATGGCACTGTTAATAACCAAATTTAGCCGCAGTTGCATTCACACGTGATATAATAGCTAGTGTCGGCAAGCTGTGGGAATGCCCATGAGATGGCGTTTGTTCAGCTATCGAAATCATTACACCGACGGCGGTGGGCAGTTCTGCTGGAACATATTTACCCCAGCAGTGGTTGCGGCGCTTTGTTTTGCAACAATAGCCTGCAATGATGACATGTCATATAATGTCGACGAACAAAGATAATCAATTTAAAATGACTAACCTTATTCCCAGCCGATTTGGGAGATCACCCTTGGTCACGACCAGAACGCATTTACTAAGAAAAAAACCGCAGGGATTGCAGTAGTTCTTTCAATCACCGTTGATGATGCTGTGCTTGTAATTAATAGTCTGAAAAGACAGAAAATTGCATTAATGAAATGTTATACACATCAAATAAATAAATTTCAATAATTTGTTTACCATTTCACCGAACCGAATTACCAAGAAATAGAAACTCACCGCGATGCGATACAGAAATAAAAACCAACAGGGCTGCATTTTCTTGGCAAACAACACAAGCGATCAGAGCAATCTGATCCGCAAAATTATTTTGTGAAAAATAATAGTTGAAAAGAGTTTTTACACGTGATTATCACATTAACTCATAAGTGCAAATTATTGTGATTATTTTTAGTTGAATATAATTGTATTACCCTGGACTTTTTTTAATGTGTTCTAATATTCATTCTTTTGGGAAGCAAAAGCAACCATGCGCTAAATTTCTTGTGGGGAAATTTGGTCCCCATAAAGGACTTTCACCACGAAACAGCTACAAAAACCAAAACCTTTTCTACTGGTATATTGTGACTTCACTGCGCAACTATTCGAATAATACACACATAAAATGTTTTGGGAGGAATGGGAAACACATTTTTTTTTGCATAGAAAACACGGATGGGTGTGCGCACTACGTGATCTGCTATTGCGTTATGAATCGAAATGTTATGTCTTGTTTTAAAAGACATTACAAACTTTGTCATAGTCATTTTGAAAAGGTGAAAGAGGGTGATCGAGCACTGAAGCTTTTGGAATTAAAAGCAGCGTTCTTTATTAAATTTATGGTTGGTGAAAGTAATACAGTATATTTTGCTTAGCTGCGCATCCTTCTTTGCACGAAAAACTTGTGCACGTAACCGAAAAAGGCACTTAAGCGAATTTTCTTTACTACTTCAATGAGAAAGGTATCCGAATCCCTATGAAACCAAATATTGGCGGAGCACTTTCCATGTAGAAATTACTGCAAGCGAAATTTTTACCGAATGTTATCTTATTATTNTCAATCACCGTTGATGATGCTGTGCTTGTAATTAATAGTCTGAAAAGACAGAAAATTGCATTAATGAAATGTTATACACATCAAATAAATAAATTTCAATAATTTGTTTACCATTTCACCGAACCGAATTACCAAGAAATAGAAACTCACCGCGATGCGATACAGAAATAAAAACCAACAGGGCTGCATTTTCTTGGCAAACAACACAAGCGATCAGAGCAATCTGATCCGCAAAATTATTTTGTGAAAAATAATAGTTGAAAAGAGTTTTTACACGTGATTATCACATTAACTCATAAGTGCAAATTATTGTGATTATTTTTAGTTGAATATAATTGTATTACCCTGGACTTTTTTTAATGTGTTCTAATATTCATTCTTTTGGGAAGCAAAAGCAACCATGCGCTAAATTTCTTGTGGGGAAATTTGGTCCCCATAAAGGACTTTCACCACGAAACAGCTACAAAAACCAAAACCTTTTCTACTGGTATATTGTGACTTCACTGCGCAACTATTCGAATAATACACACATAAAATGTTTTGGGAGGAATGGGAAACACATTTTTTTTTGCATAGAAAACACGGATGGGTGTGCGCACTACGTGATCTGCTATTGCGTTATGAATCGAAATGTTATGTCTTGTTTTAAAAGACATTACAAACTTTGTCATAGTCATTTTGAAAAGGTGAAAGAGGGTGATCGAGCACTGAAGCTTTTGGAATTAAAAGCAGCGTTCTTTATTAAATTTATGGTTGGTGAAAGTAATACAGTATATTTTGCTTAGCTGCGCATCCTTCTTTGCACGAAAAACTTGTGCACGTAACCGAAAAAGGCACTTAAGCGAATTTTCTTTACTACTTCAATGAGAAAGGTATCCGAATCCCTATGAAACCAAATATTGGCGGAGCACTTTCCATGTAGAAATTACTGCAAGCGAAATTTTTACCGAATGTTATCTTATTATTTATATAACTACATAAATTGATAGCCATCTTCGTTGTTCTGCGAGATGAGCACAATAAATAAAAGGTTGTTAAATTAGGTAATTGTAGGTCCACTGCAGGTAAACGTAATACTTTCTTTGATAATTGATACTAGTCGCACAATTTTTAAGGCAGGTATCGCCAATGTGCAGGTATGTTGAATGCATCTATCGGAGCAGTTTCCTTATAAATGTTAAAAATAATGCTTTTGATGCGCATTTTGAGGTAGGTATCTTAAATGTGCAGTTAAGCATAGAGGCAGCAAAGCAAAATATACTGTATACATTAACACGAAAATTATCACTGTCTATCAGAAAATGATTCTCTATCAGAAATTTATAGATCATTTCTAAAAAAAGCATCTTATTCTGTCGCTTTGACCTTTTATTTAGAATTTCTAGAAAAGTATTAGGTATGCAGTTTTATAGCCCGTTAAAATTTAGTAGCTCAAAGTGCAAATTTCAAGCGCTAAGAAATCGCGTTGGTTTTTAATGATTGGCAATTTCTTTTCTGGAAGAAAATGCCTAGCACCGGCAGTAAAAAAAGATAAACATTAAATAAACAAGAAATAAAAATAGTCAAAACTGGTCAAAATGTTACTTAACTTAATCAGCTGACCATAAGTGCATATAACATATTTATAAATTTATTTATTTGAATCTACCACATAGTTTTGGAATGTACCACAATTTTTCATGCTTATTTACCACAACGAAAACTTGTTACATCCGAGCACTCTCAACAGTAGAGCTGTCAAACTATCGACGATACTATCGATAGTGAAATAACTATCGATAGTTTTAGTACTATCGTTTCATTGATAGGGTATTCTCTTTCCTAGCGCTTTTGACATTTACACATATTGGTTCAAAGAGAACAAAACTTGGCAGCATTATTTCATGAACCAAAGAGTAAAGATCACCCAGGACGGAGTGACGTCATTTTTTCGCCGCCATGTTATCAACTATTATTTTTTTCTCAGATGCAATTACAAATACACGGTTGCCGTGCTGGGTGATTTGTTTAGTTGGTTCATGGCATTATTTCTAAAAGCGCCATTTTTTATTTTAAGCGTGTAAATAGCAGAGGTTACATTGCCGTCTTAAGAGCGTCTCAGAAGTGGCAATGCAGTATATTTCAAAAGATTGTCAAGTTGAGAAATTTCAGAAAGCAGTTTCATGAGCAGTGGCACATTGCATGGAGAGTGTCTTTCGAAAGAAAATATTTTATTTCCGAAAAGCGAATTGCAGGTAAAGTTTCTGAAATCGCTTTTTGACTGTTTGATAGCAGCATTTTGAAGCCCAATTACATGTGTTTGGAAAATCAAAAAATGCCCGCCTCTGGACACATAATTTTTGACAATCAGAACAGTTCGCATTTATATCAACGAGCAGCTTATTAGATTTGTTTTCGTTTGTTCTACATATGTGCATACAGTATATTTTGCTTTGCTGCCTCTATGCTTAAGTGCACATTAAAGATACCTACCCCAAAATGCGCATCAGAGGCATTATTTTTAATATAAGGAAACTGCTCTGATAGATGCATTTAGCATACCTGTACATTGGCGATACCTGCCTTAAAAAATATGCGACTAGTATCAATTATCAAAGAAAGTATTACGTTTACCTGCACTGGCCCTACAATTACCTAATTTTAAAACTTTTTATTTATTTTGTTCATCTCGCAGAACAACGAAAGTGGCTATAAATTTATGTAGTTATATAGATAATTAGATACTATTCGGTAAAAATTTCGCTTGCAGTAATTTCTACGTGGTAAGTGCTTCTCCATTATTTGATTTCATAGGGATTTGGATACCTTCCTCATTGAAGTAGTAAAGAAAATTTGCTTAAGTGCCTTTTTCGGTTAAGTGCACAAGTTTTTCGTGCAAAGAAGGATGTGCAGCTAAGCAAAATATACTGTATATACATGTACACAAACATATGTACATACACAAACATATGTACATACCCAAACATATGTACATACACAAACATATCTACATACACAAACATATGTACATACCCTGCAAAAAATGGGAGTAGTCCGGGATGACTCCGGGAGCAATCGCAAAGGAGCATGCGACTAATACCACTTTTGATCTCTTTATATGGAATGAACAGTTCGATTTTGTTCGAGCATGTCCTATGAAGAGACTAATTGTTCACCTTTATACCCGAATGGGTACAAAAAGCGACTAGTTACTTTAAAAAAATAAAAATAAAAATTTGCGCCAGCTGAGATTCGAACTGGGGTGCTCAGTTTTGTTAGGCGAATACTCTCTCTGTGTACCAACGCCGCAGATGAAACTTCATTGACCAAGTGCGTACATATCATTAATTGTTAATAGTACCTCCGTTAGTCTGCGTTCAAACACGGAAACTCGAGTTTCTTATTATCGGCGATTTCTCTTTTGGTGTTGCCCTTTGCATTCACACACAGAAACTCTTTTGTACGCAATTGTTGTTGTCAGCTGTGAATCGCCAACTTGAATTATAGCTGAAATACAATGCCGGCGAACGGCGAACTCACCACAGTGAAATTCGCGCTGTCACAATTAGAACACCCGCAAGCATATGAAATTGAACACAGCCCACGGTGGGCAGGAAGCGAAGATAGGTTGCATAAAAATGTCGACAAAATCTGAAAGCAGGGTTGTATTTGTTGATATCTTAAGGTTAAGAATCCGCTTAAATTGAAATCCTAGCTGCTCCTGTTTTAAAGATATCCACATTTTATATACTTCTGATTGGATATATTTGCAAAAGAGGAAGGCGTACTTCTCGATAATTAGAGCATATTTATACGAAAAGAAATTTCATACAAATCTGTTCCCCTTTTTTAACTCACTAAAACGGATCAAATCAATGTGAAATATTTTCATTTTTTCCTACCGAAAGAATAATTGATCGAAATTTATTGGGCCCTACCGTATGCTATGTATGCTATATAATACGGTAGTAATTTTTTATTAAAGGTTTGTTGCTATAAGCAAGTAGCGCAGGCAAGTCGCACTGCGCTTGTGCAAGAAATAAAAATGCTCTAACTTAGGCCAACGGTACTCC